AATGATTGACAGTCAGATTTTTTTTTGTTGTTGTTGTTGTTGTTGTTGTTTCTCTTCCACCAAGCAATTCAAATTGTTTTATGAATTTATTCCATAATAAAATTTGATAATGGGATTTTTTTATGATTGCTGCTTCTTTGATGTTGATGACGATTTTCCAACTGGGATTTATCATTCACCCACAAAAACGGAATTTTTTTCTTTGCTTTTTATTTTGATTGTTGGTTCAGCATTTCCATATAGATATTCGTTTTTTTTATAACAACCATTTTGGTTTCTTTTTCAAACTTTTTTTCGGAAAAAATTATTGAAAAATGAAATTTTTTTTTCTTTCTTATTGCGTTAATTTGCTTTCTAATAATGATAAATATTTCGATTGAATTATTGTTTTTTTTTGTCGGTGGTGGTTTCATGGATAAACTTAAATATGAACAAATTCATTTTCCTATGAGGCTTTTTCACTTTTCACTTTTGCGGAAATTAAATAACAAACTTGTAAGGTCTACCAAACGGCAAAATCTAATATTTTCAGTGAATGATTGAAAAAATGAACATATTGTAGCCAGATGAAAAAAAATTGTGTTTTAGAATATTCTTCAGGATGTTTCTGTTGTTTTTTCCTTTTTTATATTGTTTTATATTTACGCCAAACAAAAACAAAAAATATTTTTTTCTAAGTTAGAAAATATATTAAAAGCTTTAGAGATGTTTTTTTTATTCTCATCTGGATTCTGTTTAAATCACCTCGGACTTGAATGATCGAAAATAATAACAACAACAACATTGATCCGTAGAAAAATAAAGATTCTGAATTCTAACATTCTTTCTTTCGATTAATTTTATTATTACTTTGCCATATATATTATATTATTTCAGCTAAAAATGGGATTCTTATTCCTGGGGAATTTTTTTTGTGCCTATCGACATCGAAACACACAACAATATCAACAACATTACATTTTGGTATTTTCATGTTGTTTTTCTCAAAGTTACGGATTCAATTTCAATTGTCTTGATCCATTGATTTGCCAATTTGTTTTCGATTGTCCTTTATATTTTCATTTTTTTTTGCTTAGATGAGCAAAAAATGAAAATAAAAAGGAAAAAAATGAAACAAATACAGAGAATTCATTCCTTGACCTTAATGTTATTGCAATTCTTTCGGGAGAATTCAAAATTTCTTTTCCTTTCCCCTTATTGCCACATCGAATTATCATGTGCCTAGAATTTGTTTAAATGTATTTTCATAGCAATTGTTTATATATGATAAACAAGAATGTCAACAACAATTAATGAATTTGATTTCTGTTTCATACATATATACTATATATAATTCAAATTCAGCAATAATAAATCCTAGCAAAATTTCATCAACTCAGTCTTGATTTTCATTTCATACAGATGGACAACTAGATCTTACAGATTACATTGGTGCTTTCATTACATTCATTCCATTTTTGTCTTTGAAATTATTATTATTATGGTTTTGATCATCATTTTACGTGGGAAAGGGAAATGGGGAATGCAATTCTATTTTATGGCCAATTCAACATATTTACACGGCACTTGGGACGATTTTATTCTCTTTGTTATATCCATATAGAATATTTGCCGACAACTTTAATAGGAAAAAAAACCAAAATGGAAAAATATGCCAGGCTATTCATTGAATTGAATTTTTTTTTCTTCATTTCATTGAATACTAACTGAATAGATATGAATAAAAATTTTACTTGGCAGGTTTCACTTTGCCAAACAAAAAAGCTACAAAAATGAAAATGAAGAAGAAAAAAATTTTGAAATGAACAACTAAATGAGAAGCTGCATACAAGAGAGAAATTTCCATTCACAGAATTTTATTTCAATTCTTCATCATTGTCATCATCACAATCATCGTATCTTTCACTAGAGTTTTCTCATTCGTGGTTCGGCAATTTTTTTTGTTCAAATTCTAGTTGTTTCTTATTAATTTTTTACACTTACACACAAATATTCACCGCTTATGATGATGATGCCAAGAATATTCCGTTTTTTATTTTATTTTTTTTTTGTTTCACGCTGCTTTTTATGGTCCATTCATATGGATCGGATGAGTGTCTCTCTCTCTTTTTCTTTATCAATCTCATCATTTGTCATTGACACATCATTTTTTTCGAAAGATAAAAAAAATTATAAAGAACCGAATATTCTGTTCATTTCAAAATTGTTTTATGATTGTTTCTTCTCGTTATCGTAATAAGATTGAATTTTTTTTGCCTTTGTCGTTTAATCTTTTACATTATTCAAATGTATGTGTTAAGATAATGAAACTGATTGATATGGATTATAACATCGTTAGTCATAAAATAAATTCCACTATGATTGAATGTAATTGGGTTTTCTTGGTATAAAAAAATACCAGATTCAAATGAAATTCTTTTTTTTCAAAATTTCATTCAACCAAGCACATCAAATATTGAATTGAGAACAACCCATTTCAATTCATCATTTGGTTCATTCATCGTTCCATCATCACATGATATTTGGCTTTTTCGAACGTTTTTTGTCACATTTATCATTATCAATTATTTTATCTAGTTTTTTTTCACCCTTTCGGTTCACCATATTCAATGGAGTTTTGATTTTTTTTTTCTCTCCACCATATTCACATTGGCTATATCATCATATAAAATAATAATAATAAAACGAAGAAGAACCTAATTTCCGTTTCCGGTTTCATTTCGTTTCTCTTTCTTTCCTATAAGGAAACAGAAGACACATAGAATTTATATTCCGGTTCAACCAGAGAGTGAGAATTGAAACTTGATCGATTCAATCTGTACAGCTATTTTTGGGGTAGAAATTTTTTTTTCTTTTTTTCATTATTTGTATCCAAAAAAAAAAAAAACATTCTGAAGAAGGAAATCTGATATGCTGATCACAATGATCTGTGTGTGTGTGTGTGCCTATGTAATTGAATGTGTGTGTATGTGTAACAGTTCCTTTAACATCAAAGCTTGTTGAACCCGACACGAATTTTTTTTTCTGTTGCCCCGTTTTTTCCATTTCCCATATTGGAACCGTATATTTTTCTGCTTGAAAATACACGGATTTTTTTCTGCTTCCTTTGCATTTATGTGTGTGTTGTGAGGTCGAGAGAGAGAGAGAAGTTTCTTTTTTCCCTTCCATTGAATATATAAATTAGTTTATACCGAACGTGTTGGTTTGTATAGATACTTTTGATTTGATTTCAATCCCCTTTTACGAATCTTTTTTTTCTCAGCCTACATTTGCACATCATCATCACCAATTGTAATCACAATCACACTACCATTTTGGCATTACCCCATCATTATTACTTCCGATTATTTCCCAATTTTGCTTGCTACTTTCATCATCATTATCATCATCATCAGCAGCGTCGAATTAAACCAACTAAAATGCATTGCATTTTTTTTCCTATTTTAATATTATCGATTTTGGTCTCTGGTTTTTTTTGGCTCAAAATTCATTGTTCGGAGATTGTTGCATTGTGCAAAATCGATTAAAACGTGACTGGTTCGTTGTGTTTTAGGATATTTTTTTTTGCAAAGATTTCTGTTATATTTTATATCGATAATAGTGTCTAATTTCCAATGAATTGCCCGCATTAATATGGAATTGTAGTTTCGCTAGACAAAAAGGTAATTTAACTACGCAACGATGTTGACGATGATGATAATGAAATAACCTAAAGCAATAAATATGGTGCATTTTGAAAGAATAAGAAAAAGAACAAAAAAATAGACAAACTATGAATGAATGAATCAATTGTTATTAAAATTTGTATTGATACGAATCAAATGCTTTTGGCCATATTATCGATAGTGATGATATTCATATGTTTGTTTGATCAGACGATATTTTTTTGTGGATAAATTCGATGAATTTCCTTTAGTGGAATTGAAGCAAATAAATAAAAAACAAATTCATCATTGTTTTGTCACTAGTTTTAATGTTTGACAACATTGCCAGTTCTAATAGTTGGAAAAAAAATTTATTATTTCAATTTTATCATTTACATTTGCCTTGGGTGTGTGTGTGTGTGTGTGTGTGTATGTTTGCATTCTGTTTGTTGATAGGAATATATTCAGATGATAATTTTCATTGAAAAAAAATTGATTATAAAATTTCATATGGAAATGGTTTTTCATTTTTGTACACAGACAGAATGTGGGCGCTCACATGAATAGAATTGTTATGAATCGTTATCATTATTCCACTAATAAAACAACATAATCATATATTTAGTTTTGTTTTTTTCCCTTTTTTTCTTTGCTTTAAAATAAAATTCCGGATTGACAAATAAATGTTGAGCAAATTTAATTATATCATCATCATCATCATCATCATTGCTATATAATTGAATTCCAAAATTGTTTAAAATAAAAAGAATTATAATTGTGAAATGCTTGATTCAATCAAAAATTTTTTTTTTCGATCAAAGTAGCAAAAAGCAAAATGAAAGTTTTTTTAAGCTGAGTGTGTGTGTGTGTGTGTGAACAAACGAATGTGTGTATTTGCAATCGTTGAAAATCTATATTTTTTTTTCATTTAAATTCCTCATCATCATCAATTGGCCTACACGTTCAGCTAAAGAATAATTTTTTTTCATACGATACGATATTGTGGAGACAGATTTTGTTGTAAAATTTAAAAGTGAAGTTTATTCTTTTGCAATCTTACCAATTCTTTGAATGATTATGATGATGATGATGAATGGAAAAGTTTTAGTTTTCTTTTTTCGATAATTTCTTTCAAGCAATTTTTTTCATTCTTTTGTTTTATTGTTAGCGAAAAAAAAAAATTCTTTATTATAATTTAAATACATATAAAAAAATTCAGTCCATATGATCTGTCGATTTTTTTTTTTTGGTGTTTTGTTTGGACAATATTTGTTGTTATAGATGTGTATTGTTGTTGTTGTTGTTGTTGTTGTTTATTTCGGTTTGTTTGTTTATAAATTCAGTTCATTAGATTATATTATTATAATGATAATAATGTATAAATATTTAAGAGGATTTTTCGTTATTTTTCATTCACATTGTGTATGTCTTTGTCTCGAACGAATCCATTCATTCGCATCCAATTGTATTCTAGGGCTTTATTGAATTAATTCACACACACACACAGACACACACAACATAGATACTATGAATGAATTTTTATTTTCTTTAGCTTATGGCTATTTCGAAATATTCGCATGATGTACAAAATTTGAAAAAAAATTCCAGTTGCTGTTTGCTGGAACTTTGTCATTGAATTTTTTGGTCAGATGTGTGTGTGTGTGTGTGTGTGTGTGCAAGTTATGGAATCATCCTGGAATAAATAATTGTTGACAACAACAACATTGATAATGTAACCGCCTACATTTTTTTTGAAAGAAGCAAAAACTATTTTTTTTCTTTTTCGATTCTGATTTCCTTTTTTTCATGTGAAATATTTCATCACACAAAAGGTTTTGGATAAAAATATCCTGCTGTTCATAGTTTATATTTTTTCTTTCATTCTATGTTTACCAACTAGATTTAATTTTAATCGAATGGCCGTTTGTGTTTGCGTGTGTGTGTGTGTGTGTGTGTGTTGTATATCTATGATCCATCCGTATCTTGGTTATTGTTTGGCTGTTGTTGTTGTTGTTGATGTTGTTGCTGATACATTTCGGTTAATGTAATATATGGTAGTTGACTTAAATCTTGATGATGTACATTGATCGTTGTATCATTCGTATTTGTTGATGTTTGTGCATCATTATGATGTTGTTGTTGATGATGATGATGATGATGATATTCATTAGTATGAGAACCACTAGGTGCAATCGTTGTTGATGAAGCTGTCAGAAAACAACCAACAAAATCATTTCCATCCAAATATGTATGTCCATCTTGTAATTGATTCGTAAATTGTGAATCTGATGATGAAAATATCAATGAATTTGTATTGCTAGCGTTTGGATCGATTACATGATAAGAATCGGTTGCCACCAAATAAGTTGTTGTTGTTTCCGGTTCTAAATGTTGTTGAGTATGATGATGGTGATGATGATTTTTCAATGAATTTTTTAATATTGATTTCAATGGTGTTGATTGTTCGGAAATTGTTGCCGCTGTTGTAATCATTGGTTCAGAATCGGTATAAAATTCGTTGGATGTTTCATGTTGTTGTTTACCATATTTTGAAGGCAATGTTTGAAACTTATTTGCATTAGCAGAAATAATCTTATTCAAATTATGATTTGTATATGGTTGTTGCTGCTCACCGCTTTTACTAACAACAACATTTGAATTCTCTGCTAAATGTAACAATTCTACATCATTATCGCCATCGAAATTATTTTGATGTACATGATGATGATGATGATGAAGATGGTGTTGATGGTTTCGTGTTTCATCTTTTGTGGTTGTTCTTGTTGTCGTTGATATTGTTGATAACTATAAATAGAATGAATGAATGAATGAATGAAAGATTTTTTATTCAAATATCAGAATAATGATAAACTACACAATCCTCAATCACAATCCAACTCTTCTAAGAAATGTTCTCTAATTAACAATTATAATAGAAAAAAAAGAAAAAATGATGGAAAATAAAGGATTTTGTTTTGTGGGTTGCTTATAATCTTTTCATTCATTTTTTATTTCATCTAGCTGAAATATGGTAATATGAAACAATGTACCTGGTGTTTGGGACTTTTAATTATTTGTTTCTCTCTCTCTCGGTTTTATTTGTTTATTTTTCTTTCTTTTTTTTTGGCAATCTGGGTCAAACATTCGGTTCTTTCATATATCTATTTATTATTATTATTATTATTATTATCGTAATAACATAATAATAATTTCATGTTTTATTCTGGCCATTGAATTCAATCAAATTGCATTCATTTCATGGTTTTCATAAAATGCACAAATGACTACTGTGTTACCAATAAGAATAATAATTCTAATCATAATATTGGGCATACAAAAAAAAAAAAAAAATAAAAGTAAAAATATGACCGCTTTTCTTCCTCCCATTATTGGCCTATTCTGATTGTTGATTTCATTTGCTTAGGTTTTTATTTTGGGATTTGATTCGAGGGTTTATTTTTTTTTTTACCTTATCTTTATAGCCAGATATTCTATGATGATCAACTTTTAATGTTGACCGTGGTAATGTAGATTTTTTAATCATGTTGTATCCACTGTTGATATCATTTTGTTTCACTATGGTCGATTCATTGTTATTATTTACATTTCTATGATGATTTTTATTCAATGATTTTTGATTATTATGACAGTGTTCTATTTGTTGTTGTAGATTTTGGTTAATGGATTTACTTGGTGTACAAATAAACTGACCATTTGTAGTTATGGCCATAGTGGTGGTAGCCATTTCCAGGAATTCATCATCATCATAGTCAACGCCACCATTAATACCATCACCACCACCACTACTACCACAATTTAAATGTTCTTGTGATGTTTGTAGTTGTTGTTTGTTGATTTTGATCAGTGATAGTTATTTGATCTTCTAATGTTGTACCAAATTTTTGTTCTTGTTGTCCTCGTCTTCTTCGTCTTTGTTGCTGTTGTTGTTGTCGTTGGCGGCCATTTTTCATCTGCAGATATACACCAATAACGATAATCAAATTGAGTAAAAATAGTAAGCCACCAATTATGAATGAAATATAAACTAAGGTGCTATATGTTTCGGATACAAATGATGATGATGATGGAATTTGATGTGCCGATACAGCTGATGTTGATTCCTGATATATATCATTATGATGATGATGATGATGATGATGATGATCCATGGGGATGTCATGACCAAAATATGTAATCAAGATCATAACAATTTGTATTATGAAATGAATTGAAAATAAAAGCAAAAAAAAATCCAGATTATTAATTATTGATTAATTGCATCAAAAATGTACAACAAAGCTAAGATGATTCGAAAATTCTTTTCTATGAATTTGTTCCATCATATATTCCATCATTCCATTGCAAACAATTTCATTGATATTACTTTTAGTATTGATGGTTTTAATAATGGAATGAAAGAAATAAAAAAGATTCTGTAAATGTCAGTTTCATCGACAATAACAAATATTTTTTTTACGACAAATATCTAGGCAATCGTTTCAAAATTCTAGATATTTCAATCAAATGTCGTTTGGTCGATGGAAATAAATGAAAACAATAATAATAACTAATGACCCAAAAACGACTACGAACAGAATGGACGGAGACGGAGACGACGAAAACAACAATCGACAAAAACAATTGTCGATTAAAGTATTGAATAACAAATAACAATAACATTGGACATTCGACAAGACCAATCGCAGTAAATAGTAAACAGAATATTATGATTCTATCTACATCATTACAGTAATAATAATAATAACAAAAACCTCTTATATTGTAAATTACATACATCTAGCTATTTGTTTTCGTAGTTGTTGAATATATATTTTATGTTATTGGATAATTGAAATTCAAATTCTCTTTTTTTTGTAGCCAATTATTAGGATTTTTCTATACTTTCATATATATATTACCATTATTGTTGTATGCAGATGCATACATCATTCAATTGATTATTATAAAATTTCAAAAAATAATCTCAATGATGAATATATCAATGATGGAATTTTGGTGTTTTTTCTCATGTTCAGCTATTGATTATGATGATGATGATGATGATATTCATTTGTTCAATCATTTCTGTATATTTTTCACTTTTCCGTCGTCATGTCGCAATTGTCTTTTATACAGTGAATTTATTATAATTTTTTTTTTTTAATTTAGTTAATAGCTATTAATCAGTGAAAGAATATGCTTCACTAGTTTCGATTATTCTTCGTCACTATACGAATAGATTTTTCCATAATTTTCTCTCACTCATTCATTCATTCATTCATTTTCCTTTCTATAAATTGTTTAAGATGTTTGTTGTTGTTATCCAGTAATGTAAATATTAATGCAAGAAAATGATGAAAAAGTTGATCACTAAATGCATCTTACGACGAAGACAACAACAACAAGAAAGACAAAAACAACACTCAATGATGATGATCAATTCTAGGAAAACATTACAGAAACATGTATAATATATACTTGCATAATACAGATGCCAAAATTTTTTTTTCGCATATAATAATGATAATAGCTAAGATGAAGAATAATAAGAACGAAAGGAATATATCAGAAAAAGTAGGAAAAAAAAGAAAGTGAGGTGAAAATGATTCGTTCATTCGTTTAGACAGATTGTATGAGATTCTTTGGCTTATTTTGCATTTAATCAATGTTGCCTCTTTAAACTTTTCGATGCCAACACCATCATGATTCTAACAACAGCTTTGTTAAAAAAAAATCTATTTTTTCTATAGTTTTTTTTTGTTCGGACCATATTTTCTCAATATTTGTTTGTTTGTCGTTGTTTTTCGTTTGTTTGTTTGTTACTATTCCAGAGAAAAAAACTTGAATTACATAGAACTTTGTATGTTAATGAAGATGATGATCATGATCCATGTATTCTGGATTGTTTTTTTTATCACGTTTCACTAACATTAAACATTTTGAACTTGTTTACAAAGATGATCAAGTTCATGTTGATTCTTTTATACAGCCATGTATTCTCACTTGCGTTTTGTATGCGTTTAAGGCAGAAAAAAATGGCCTCTCCTAGTATCTTTTGTTCATTATTTTTGGTTATTTTTCTATTTGTTTTGTTTGATTTCTATTCAATTGTTCTTTTGTTTCTTTTTTGTTGGAGTTTTTCGTTTTTGTATCTCAATAACAGAAAAAAAAAAAAAAAAAACTCTGAGAACCATCCCAATAAGAATAGACAGTTGAACAACAACAACAACAACAACAAAACGGAAACCGAAAAATATTACAAAGTCTCAAAAGACATACACAAACAAACAAACAAACAAACATAGCAAAGAGAATTTTGATCACCAAAAATGCCCTTTGCTATGTCATCATAACAACCGCATGAGAACAATAACAATGGCATTAAATACGCCAGGAAAATTTTTTTGTTTTGTTTTGTTTCTTTCAAAAATAAACTAGAAAAAGTCTTGTTCTTGGAATTTATCCTATCACTCCTTTTTATTCAACTTTTTTTTCAACCACCATAATTCTATTGTAGATCTCTTAGTCTTTCTGATTCTTGACTTTTCATTCTGATTGTTTTTCCTAATTAGATTCTACCCTTTTTTTCCTTTGGTCCGAACTTATTTCTCACTCATCATCATGTATGAAATGAATTTTCTCTGATACGTGTAAAACACACACACACACTTACACCCATCATCCCCATTAGGATTTTACAACAACAACAACAACAACAAAAAACAACTAGAATTCCTAATGTTCTTATTACTATTTAATAATGCTAATTCTAAAGTTGTTTTTGCTGTTTTGTTTTCCCACTGCATTTTTATTCATTTCATCCATTTTATTTTGATGATGAAGATGATGTTCATGTTAAATGATGATTTCACACGGTTACTCTTATGTCGGTTCCCGGTTTTTTTGTTGTTGTTGTCTTGTTCATACTTGGTTACTCGTTAGTTAGTATAGTTCATTTGTTGTACTTTCACCCACTTTTTTTTCATTTTCTTGTAGTATTTTTCAGATGTGAAATTATATTATTCCACTGACAACTGAATGTGAATACATGAACAAACTCAAAACTATTGTCATCGTCGTCATCATCATCACTATACCGATGTTTCCAATATTTATACATAATTTTGTTATTCATTTGTAATTCAAAATTAGATCTGACAACTTGAAAAAAATGAACAGGATGCAAACAAATTGACAGAATTGTGATTAAATAGGATTCTTTGTGACTTTCATTCAAAAACAAAACAAAACAAAAAATGAAAACTTACCAAATGTGATTGTGAATTATTGCTTTTTGAATCAGAATTTTTTCGAATCATATTGTTGGCTAAATTATTATCATCATCAATTTCAATGTTATTATTTTGATTCGATGGATATGTTTTCGAACCAGATTGTTCCACTAGTTCCGGTATGAGAATTTTATTTTTATTCGATTCAATCTGTCGTCGTGCATATTGTTGCTGTGATGTAGACATTTGTGGACGAATTCCTGTCAATAATACGGCTGAAGATGATGATGATGATGAACCATCATTAATGATTACATTGGTCATTGTATCATAAATACGACCATATAGCATTTGTTGTTGTTGTTCATATAAACTTGTCATATTTCGTCGTAAATGTTTCTGTTGCCATTGTTTTGATTCGGGTATTTTTATCGGTAGTTCTTTAACATTACCATCATATGTATCTATATTTTCATGATCAGGCAATAAATGATGTTTTAGATAAAAATATTGATCTTGATCTAGTTCAAAACCACCGGGCAAATCATTATCATTATCATTATTGATAACATTATCTATTGATTTTTCCATCATTGAATCGATTGATCCATAAAGAGGCATTATTGATGAATCTTTAAGCTCGATTGGTACATGTAATCGTGGTATTAACGATAACCAAATCGACAATCGATGACTATGATAATGATCACGCGATTCGATTGATGATTGTCCTTTATTTATGCATCGGTATGTGTGTGTGTGTGTGCGTAAGTATGTGAAAAGAAAAAGAATTTCAGATAATGGAATTAGAATTTCAATATTGAATTTGAAAATTTTATCGATAAAAGAAAAAAAACGATAAAATAAATGATAAAAAAAACGATGAATATAAATAAAAATGAATGCATAAATAATATTGAAGCATAAAAATTCATGAATTTGTTAATGAATTTTTATTTTCATTTATCCTTTGGACCAATAGCATTGTGTGGGTGTGTATTTAGTATTCGTCACTAAATAATCAAAAACTAGGATCACAATTTATTCATTCATTCATTCATTCATTTATTCATCATATTTGTTTGATCTATCTATCTCTCTCTCTCTCACTGTGTGTGTGTGTATTGTAAATGTAGATGTTGATGCCGAAAAACAAATATTTGTCTTAACAAATATTTTTTTCGTCTTTCTTGATACTGTATATCAAATACAAAATAGTTATATATTCTCTCTTTCTTTATTTCTATTTATATAAATATAACCGGAATTGAATGAATGAATTCAATTTATTCATTTTATAAATCGACAAGAATATTCTTTTTTTCTATCCATCAATCTGATCTATCTATATGATGGATACTTGCTTTATAACAACTTTCTATGTATTCAAATTGTACAAGCATTTGGTAGATGCACAAGTGGACAATTCGAATTCAAACTTTTTTGTGTGGTCATCCTATTTTTTTTTTTTTGTTTTGTTTTGTTTGAGGCGTGTATGTATTTTTATTTGTATACAAAAGTTTTCAATTTATATTTATCACTATCACATAGTAACTAGTATAATCCTATCGGTGATTTATGCTTTGAATCATTTCTTTTATGTATTCAGACCGTATTATCTCTACGTCTTTATCGACGTATGACAAACAGATTTCCAATTCTAATAACAGAAAAAAAATTAATTCACATTCAAATATAGATGTATTGAAATTGAAATCAACTTTAAAACTTTAAAAAAAAGACCTTATCAAGTTGACGAATCATATCTAGGTGTCATTCACATCACACATTTTTTCATTTCATTCAATTATTTTGGTTTTCATCAACATCATCATCATCATCATGAAGAATTGTCTGAAAGTAAAGGAGAAAAATATCGTTAAGAATACTGATTGTGACTACAATGAATGAAGATGATAGTAGAAAGAGGTGGTGGTCTGATTTTGTTCATTAATTTTCTCGTTCTCCTGTTGTGTTATAACTTTCATTCATTTATTCAATTCATTCATTCATTGATTCTTTTCGATTTGATGTTATTTTCATAACATTCGACATTTTCGGCATCTTTTTTTTTCTTTTGTGGGAATAACATTATTATTATTATTATTAGCAGCAGTGATGTAAAATAAAGTAAAGAAAAGTGAAAACGAGCGAGAATTGTTGTTGATTTCATTTTCAAAATGATTCCTTACATTTTGTGTTGTATAGCTTCAATTTTCTATTCTTTTTTTTTTGCTTTCGTTTCGTTTGATCTGATCATATTCTATTGTATTGTATTCGACAAATGATGAAAAGTTTTCTTATTTTCGCTTTTCTTTTCTTTTTGTTTTTTTTGTTTTGTTTTTTTTTTTTTTTTTGATTTATAAATTCGTAAAAGCAAATCAAATCTAAATAGAGAGCTAACTATGTGTTTATGGTGTGGTATAACATTGGGGATCAATACGAATGATTCTTGAAATCAAACAAATACACACAACAAACACTAATGACTAATGAAGCAACTAAAATTGTATAGTTCGTAGTCGAATATTTGGAGTTTTTGTTTCGTTTTATTTCTTTTTTTTCTCTCTCTTTCTCTCTATCTAATGTTAACTTGTTTTATCGTCTTCATTGTTGTTGTTTTTGCCGAATTTTATTTAAAAATTTCAAATTTTCATTCATCGATAGACACACACACACACTTGAAACATTTTCGATCCTGTTTTAGTAGCGGAGATACTGGTTCGAATTTTTTTTTTAAATTTCTAGTTGTTTGAAACATCTTCGTCTCTTGTCATGGATTTCATTGAAATTGATTGGATCGACAAGCTCACACACACACACAAAATTCGATTGATTGAATTCAACCAAAAAAAAAATAATATGACCAGAGAATCATCAGAGAATATAGAAAACTTTTTCAACGATTCTCACGAAACTTTTTTTTTGTTTGTGAATCAATATTATTTATTTGAATACTTCAACGATGATAGAAAAAACGAAAATTCCTTAAGTGTGAAATTTTCATTTTTTTTCTTCGGTTCCAAAAATTCTAGATTTCATATCATCATAGTATTACTTTATCATTCTTCCATATTCTAAGATTCATCTTTTCAACAATGATGATGATAAAATTTTTTTCTCTTTTTTTCGCCTTCATAAAAGCCAGAATAAATGAAATTTCCCGCGATAACACAAAAAACGGCTTTATCATGGGGCAAAGTTTTTTTTTATTTTGTGTCGAATTAAGCCTAGCGAGTAAAAGTAAGATATTCTCGTAGTTTTTTTTTCCTTTTTTTTGGTTGTAGTTGAAATTTATCCAGTCAACAATAATAATAATAACAACAACAACAAAATGGAAAAATTCGAGAGAGAGAGAAAACAGAACGAAACGAAGACAACAATTTACTATTCCGGTCCAGAATAGCGTTTGCTTCTTATTTTATTTTATTTTATTTTATTTTATTCTATTTTATTTTTCTGCTTTTTTTTGTTGTCATCATCGTGTTTGTTGTCGTCGTCGCTTTTTTTTTTTGATCAGCAAGCAAATCTGCTTCAAACATTTGGTCGTTTGGATCGTTTTTTTTTTCATTTCTTATTCATCGTTATACGATATATCTGAATACATATGAATGAATGACAAGAACCGAAGCCAAACCCAAAGTCAAAGCTCTATTCGAAGCAATTTTTTCTCCTCAAGTTTTTTTTCAATTCTATGTCATTACTTTTTTCTCTTCTCTTCTTCCCCCCTTATTCGTAGTACACCCCGTAGGTTTTCATGCATCAAATCCAATAGTAATGTGAGAGGAAGAAAAAAAAATGTTAACTTTTTTTTTGCTTCTTATTCCCTCTGATTCCATACAGAATCAGTGTTTTTTTTCACTTGAACTAGATCACATTCACGTCAGTAGAATTGTGTGTGTATGTGTATTCGTGTTGTTGGATGCAAGTGCAAAAAAAACAGTAATATCGGTAGAAATTGAGCAATAAAAAATTTTTTCCCTTCAAAAAAAAAAAAAAAATAGAATGAGGCGAAAAAGAAAAAACAAATCTGTATCGACAACTTATTTTTGTTGATTTCAATTTTTTTTTGTTTGTTTGTTTCATTGAAAATCGAGAATTTGCCTTTTTTTGCTGCAACAAATGCACATGTTCAATGTGATTGTTGTTTTGATAAACACACACACACACACACACACAGCCGTTAAAAAAAAAATTGAGCAATTTTTTCACTTTTTCTATAATGTAAAGATTATTGAAAACGAAGCGAAATAACAGCAAAAAACAACAACAACAACACCTGATCTGAAATCTTTTTTTTTCATTTATTATGAATTGATTTATTGTCAATCCGTTTCGATTTCGGTTGGCTGCATTTGATGGTTTTTTTATCCATAGTAGAAACGATTTTCATGCTTAAAGAATTAAATGGAATTACAAATCCCGATTTTATTCTGGTTGCTGTTGTTGTTGTTGTTCTGAAAGTTCAAACTATATTTTTTTCTTGTCAAAATTCTGATGCATTTATTGACAATTTTATTTGATTATATTATTATATATATTTCCATCACTATTGAATTGATAACTAAAGTGAGAAAGGACAAAAAAATATATATTTTTCCCACTCAATTTACTTGTACAAATTGAACACAAAGTACAAAAGAAAAAAATTCTTTTGAAACCAATTTTTTTCATTTTTTTTTCTGAAAAGTTGATGGCAAAGATTTCACAATATCCAATTCAATTCAATTTCAATTATTTATATTGTTGTTGGAAAAAAAAATTTCATATCAATGATATGATAATGATAGCCGGCTTTTACTTACACACACACACATACACATGTGTCAATCATATTACGGAATTATTTTCACTGGTTCTGAAAATTCCAAATTGGTGTGTGTATTTTTGCGTGTTTCTGACTACAACAAGCAATAGTTTCGTTTCGTTTTTATTCTCGATTTAACTGTGCGTTATGAAAAAAAATAAATAATTTTATTCCTTGTTATCTTTTCACAAACATTCATATTTGTACTAGCGTATTTATTCTTGGTTTTTTATCGTATGTTTTTTTTTTTTTTTTTTTTGGTTCCGATTGATTGCAAAAAAAAACGCACGAATTCTGAATCATTTTTTTTTCTCAACAATTTTTCTTGTTTTTTTTTCATTGATATAGCAGTACCCTAGAAATGACATATTCGTATTGCTATCAAAAATCAAAACAGAATATAGTTTTGTATATTCTCTCAATCAAATCAAATCAATCACCATTCATTGATAATGATAATTCAAATAAAATGTGAGAAATATTCTTACAATATATTTATTTGAAGATTTATCTGTGATGTTTTTTTTCATTTCTCTGCTTCATTGTTTGAACTTTTTATCAAAAATCACATATACACACAATAAATGTGTTTATGAAAAAAAATGAAAATAAAAAAAAACCTATTTCTATTGTGAGATATTTTATTTTGGTGTAATCTAATGGCCCATGAAAGATTATTCTAGCCTAGCCATTATTAACGTTGTGTGTGTGTGTGTGTGTGTGTTTGAAAATTCTATTTTGCTCACCAAATTGTAAATATCTTCTTTTGGTCGTATCATATTGTGGCCATTGTTGTTGATGTTGGTTGTTGTTGTTGTTGTTATTGTTGGATAATTTTGTTTTCAATTGCCATGGCCATGATGTATGTATTGTTTGATAACCATAGAATAAAATCCATTGATCATGAGTTTTTGTTATTCTTTTTTCATTTGATTGTAACGTTGATGAAGACAAGAAATATTGTTGTTGTTGTTGTTGTTGTTGTTGATGATGATGATGATGATGAGAATGATGTGGACGATGATGACGTGGATGATTTGACAATGATGATCGAATCTGTGAATCATTGTTATTTTCGTTATTATTGTTATTATCATCATCATCATCATCATCATCATTTGGATTCCTAATGAGAACGACAAAGATAAATCATTAATTGTTAATTATTTTTTTTTATTTGTTGTTAGAATTGAATCGAATCGATTTTTTTTTTGATAAATTTTGTATGAACGCGGTTATTTTTTTTTTTCATTATTTCATGTCTCGAATGATCAATAAATTTTTAATTAATTTTAAAATTTCACCATACATACATACATACATGCATGCATACAGAGAAAAAATAGAAAACACTGAATATCAAATCAATCATTCGAAAAAGCAATGAATAAAAAACCAACATTACAGTGGCGCGCATTTTTCTGGCATTTATGGTGGAAAGTCAAAACCAAGATAATTTAGTATATTATGTGAATTATTTTCTAAACAAAACAAAAAAAAAAAATTTGCAAAAGGCTTTTTTTTAGCTTTCACAGAACTTTTCTTTTAATTGTTTGGCTCATATATATACAATTTATAGACATAAATGACAAACACATTTTTTTACAATAAAAATGTTTTCCTCTTTGTTTTGTTTTGTTTTTTCAAATAACCATGTAATTATGTGCAAACTAAAGGGGAAAAAAATTTTTCCATATAACAATAGGAATTTGAATTTGATCCAGAATTCTGTCTGAAATTTTGAATGAAAAGATGAAATTTTTTTTTTTCAAAACATAGGTCATTTATTTATTTTTCTCTGTCATCCATGATGGTCGAACGAATTGCTTGTTTGCTTTCAACATAAAAATTAACAAGAACTGATCAAATAATTGTTAACAAAATGCTATTGTAGAATGTGATGATTATTTTTTAGCACTTTATTTTCTGTATATACATGTTTATTGTGTTTTAAAAAGTTTTTTTTCTAATGCTCTAATTGATCATTACTCTATTATTATTTTCTATTTAATTTAGAATTTTTAACTCACCCTCGTATAGCAAAATTAATCCACGAGGATATGAATCGTTGACATAATTCTAATTCATTTATAGTTTTATTCGATGATGATGTACTTGATGATGATGATGATGATGGATACCAATTAGATGATATGTCCAATATTGGATAACGAAATTTATTTTTCATTTTTGCCATATGTTGATGATAATAATGATGATGGTTATGATTATGGAAAAAATAATTATCACCATGATAATAAAGTATGAATGGAACACCAAATATAAAGGCAATATCATCACCATAGGCTGCACCAATACGTTCATGATAACTTTGTTTAGAAAAATGATCATTTTGATATTGAAAAACATAAAAATAGGTGTTGGGTGTGTCTGTAGTAAATGATGAACTACCACCAGGTGTTACCGATGCTGCTGGTGAATTTGTTGTTGTAGTTGTCGTTGATAATGACGATTGGGCATAATGATGATCCAATGATTCAATCAATGGTGCAACGACCAATGCATCGGCATATAATTCCATCAATGAATCCATTAAATTTAATGGATGTTCAATTGATGATTTTGTCCAATCCGTATATTCATTGATTAATGTATAAAAAATGGCCTATAAATGAAATGTTTTATTAAATCAAATTTTTGATCCTAGATTTTTTTCTTTGTTATACACACACACACACATACCTGCTGATGATAATCATAAAGGTTACGTACTAATGTTCGTAATAATCGATCACGACGTGCCACTGAAATTCCATTACGTTCTTCATGTGAGCTAAATATGGCTGTTGGTGATTCTACTCGGGTTACACCGACCATTAAATCTGGTATGGATGTTGTCCAATAAAACCACGATGATGATGATGATGTTGATGACTGTTGTGGTTGTTGTTGTTGTTGTGGTTGTTGGAATGCTGCTGTTACTGGTAATGATGATGCAGACATTTTATTTGAAATGTTAATGATATGATGATTTCTAGAATTCGATGATGATGATGATGATGATCGAGCACCATTATTAGAATGAATTCTGTGTAAATGTGCTGATAAAGTTGACCAAGATGGAATTGCTGTTTCTGATTGATTCTGTTGTTGTTGTTGTTGTTGATAATTTTGTCTTAGCCATATTGATTGACGCATTTGATACATAAGAATTCTTGGCTCTTGTGGTACAACAATACCATCAATAATTGGACCAAATCCAGTCAAATGATCAGGCACTTGATAATTGACCGATTGTAATTGATCAATCGTTCGTGTTCGAAGACAATCAATGATTAGTGAAGTTTTCTATGAAATTTAATTAATAATTTAAAATTAAATTTTTCTTACGCAATCGGATATTGAAAATATATGAATATACCTTGATTGGACAATTTAATTGATTTCCAATTTGTTCTGCATATACATTAGCATCACGAGCTATGGCCCATGGCGATAATGCTGAACCACTCATAAGAATTACACGATTGAATAGACCTTTAGCCATTGGTGATAACATTAATAGATGTGCACATGCAGCCCCATAACCATGGCCAACAATCGTTATGTTATTGGATGCACCACCAAAGTGTTCAATATTTTCCTGTATCCAATGTAATGCTGCTACTTGATCCATTAAGCCATAATTTCCACGCATAGTTCCATCGATGTTTGCCGGCAAAAATCCTTGAAATGAACAAAAAAAAAAAAATATGGCAAACAAACCAAGAAATGAAAGGCAAATTAAATGGACGATCATTGAAAATTACAACAAGAGAATAACCAGCAAAGCAAAGAACACAAAAAAAAATTTAATTCAATAACAAAACACAACTGATCATATATATTACAAAGAATCAGAATCATCATAGTTTTGTTTTGTAAAAAAAAGTGATAACTTGAAATAAATTATTCTCGAATCGGCAATTTTTTTTCTTTCTATATTTTCTAACAAGAGAAATTTTGACGACAACGATTGAAATGCATTCATTCGAGTAAAAGTTCTCCCACATTTTTGTTGATGTCATACAGACAAACACTAGATATATATCGCATTGGGACTACATATCACTGTGGCCAACATTTTTATCTCAGTGATGGACGCAATAATTTTTATTTTTTTTTCTAAGTTTCTATAGATTCAAGTGTTTGTTTGTATTCGTTTTTTCCCTATTTTTCAGTCATATACTTCAATGTGACAATGAATCCTATGGGTAAAATACACATTATTTACACAATATATATGCCATATTATGATAAGTCAGAATGTGTCCATGTGCGGTTTTTATGCTGGACTCTATAGAGTTATTGTTATATGATGGTGAATGGTTTTTTTTAATGCGTTCTAAACTAAAATCGATTTCAACCAACAAAAAAAAAAAAAAACATTGTGATCATAGATTATTAGTATGACATAATATTGTTTCTGAGCCGGCTACATTGTTTTTGTTTGTCATATATGTTCATGACATTTGACATATGGCTGCAACTAATCGGATATAGTTTAAGTGGGAGAAAAGAACAAATTTTGTTTTGTTTTTTTTTTGCTATCACCTGCTTGTTTTTACTTACGATCGTTCATTCACACGCTTTTACCATTTGAAAAAAAAATTTCTTATCACATAAATAAACCACCACACATTAAATAATTTTTAAGGGAAAATTCATCATAACAACTAAATGGGAAACCATATTCTTTCATAAGAATAAATTCTAGCCATTCATACAAAACATGAAACATTTTAAGAACAATGTCATTATTTCATAGATTCTGGTATTTCCGCTGAAAGATTTATGTCCATCATCATTTTCCATCACACAAACTCTTTTATGTTCTCGTTCTTATATGGGATAAAATCAAACGGCAAAATGATTGCCTGTTTTATAGCTTCAGATCGTTTATTATTTGACCACAGCGATCAATGGTTTTTCTTTTCTTTTTTTTTTGTTTTGATTTTTATGACTTTTTTTTTTTTTTTGTTACAAATTTGATTGAAAATCGATAAATAAAATTGTGCAAGAAAAATATCAACATACCTAAAATTCCAAGACGAAAATTTAATGTAACAACAACCGTTTGTCCATAGCTAGCCAATATTGATCCATCATATAATGATCCAGGATTCCATTCATATGATTCACCAGTTAGAAATACAATTACAGGAAATTTTTTTGATGATGATGATGATGATGTTTGCCGACGTTGTTTTCGTATTTGACCATTATCATAATCATTATCAGGATGATGTATAGATTCACGATTGTTTAGATGTATATTATCATTTACATCATCTTCATCAGTAAACCTAGTTGAATCTAGATTCTCTTCGGTTATTTTAACTCCATCATCATCAACATCATCATCATCATCATTCATATCATCATTATCACCGTCATTGGATTCATTATCATCGTCATCATCATCATCATCATTTTCATTCAAAATTGTTTCCGTATCTGGATCATCATCGTTGTTGTTGTTCCCGAACGACAATGACGAATCGGCCTGATGTTCAAGCTTCTTATTTTTTTGGTGTTGCTGGTGATAATGATAGTAATGATGATAGTTATCGTTGTCTTGGCCGTCATCATTGTCATTAACTATGGAGAAAAAAAGAAAGAGAGTGAGAAAAAAAAACGAAAATAGAATAGAAAATTATAAGTTTTAAATTAAATTAAATTTCTACTTATTTCCAGCTTATTTTGTCCTTTTTTTTCTCACTTCACTTCAATGATCGAAAAAAAAGAATTTTCAAACTGTAAATGTTGATTGTGAAAAAAAATATATAAAAAAATAGAAACTTTCAATGATAAATGGATTCTAAATTATTGTTATTGTCAGCAGTCGCTCTCGTTAACGATGACGATGATGATGACGATGATAATGATGATGATAATCAATGGTGTATCGATAATAGCCAAATTTCTACAAACTCCAATTCAATAAAGCAAAGTATAATAATAACCTAGCATTATTGACAAAACTTGAAACAAAAAATAATCATAAAATAAGAAAGTATATGGTAAATCCACATAGAGGTTGGTTTATGAAGAATGAATTTTTGAATTTGTCACTTCATTTTTAATGATAGCTATTGAGAGTGAGAGAGAATAAAGCTTGTGAGAATGAGTGAAAAAAAAATTTGTCAATTTTTTTCAAATCACAATTCATTTGAATTAATAAGAATTATTATTGTCAAAAACAATTTTGCCGATCATCATAATCACTTTTTTCTGTTCATATATGTTGTATATATTTAGTCAACCATATATGGATTTAACAATGATATAATAATGATTTATTATTGGTAGCGGTTGTATAATGTAATGATATACCACTGTAATGTTATTGAACAAATTTTTTTCACATGACATTACAAAAACAACTATATGAACTCAAACCAATTCTATAACAGATTTGAGTATTTTTTTCTGAGAAGAAAAATGCCAGATCAAAGATCAATCAAAGATCGATTATTGAATTTTATCATAACCATTATGTGTGGTCGAATAATTCGAATAATCAACAAGAATCAGATAAACATGTTTAGTTTTGTGTATGTGTGTGTGTGTATATGAAAGGAACATGAAATTCGTTGATGTTATACGTTTAATCATAACAAAACGACGGCCATGACTTGCTCATGTCGTATTGCCAAACTTGCCAAAACATATTCAAAGACATTGATTCAACCAATGAATCCTCTACCATTACAGTAATTCTCTCGTCTTTTTCATGAATATTCGAACTTCCTTTTTCTTCATATCTCTTGTTCTTTGCACAAACTAAATAACTTTTGGTACGATTTTCTAAACTTTCTTCTTCTTCTGTTTTCACATCTGATTTACCAATTCCATTTGGTTTTAATCTGTGAACGTCTGCACAAGTGCCTGATCGATCGGCAACCCTGGTGACTCTACCATTCAAATAACTAATGGTTCTTTCGTAATCACCATCAAAAACAACCGTTTTGATCACATGCCAAAATCATCAGATGATATCATTTCCATTGACGAAGATTCAACCAATGAATCCGCTAACACACTGTGTTACCAACGTCGTCTTCCTAAATGATTATCCACTTTTCCTGTGCCAGAAGAAACGCCAGATGAAACAATTCCATCATTTTCGTATGTATCGTCACCAAATTAGTTTCTTAAACCAACGTCTGCAAAGACATACTCTGAAATGCTCTTTAGCACTTCTCTTGATTCCAGTTTACCATCCAATCTACGAATCATGCTAAGCATCGATTCCACGTCTCCAGAACATTTCTGTGAAAGACTTCCTGTAGATTTGCTTGAGCTTTCGCTATGGAACTGAATCAATCTTTCCATCAACTACTTGACATTCTCACAGCCGGATAAACGATAAGAATTGGCCTCATCGACTGCTTGAACAACGAATGCCACTGCCAAGAACTAATCGAATCTTTTACGACGTGCTTCCAAAGCACTCTGCTTTCCAACGTTAACATGATCACCATAGACCATAGATGAAAAATTTGTATCGACCAAAATACAAATGTTGGACATCTCTTGCGTGGATGGACCCATAACCTGTTGAAATATTTAGCAAGAGGCTTGGAAGTATAAGATTCAATAGTTAGCAGTTGATGAATATGTGTTTTAATCATAATAAATAACTGGTTAACAAACTCATATATATATGTCAAGTGCGAAACTATGGTTGACTTTGAGCCGCCGCCTAGACCGATCCACTGGATGGAAATAGTAGACCGGAAGCCCAAATGATATCTGGCCTTCCCAAAATAATCAACTCAACAACGAAAAGAAAAGGATTTTATTTACAAAATTTAGTAAGCACACACAAATTAAATTAATACACGACGTTTAGCACTGACCGACTGCCCCTGATTATTTTCCAAAACATGTTTTTGCCCTTCATCATAATGGTCAGTATGTCCTCTCTGCTTTTCATATATCGATTGTATTTATTTCGACTTCAACCCTATATGGATTTAGACAATGATCCTAATGAATGATTGGCATTATTGGTCTGCCATGGCTCATTTCTATAATCCTTGGTTAATGATATATACCACTGTAATGTTATTGAACAAATTTTTTTTCACATGACATTACATTTTATGGCCAAAACAACAAAAATCTTTTATGAACTCAAACCAACCCTGGTCTATAACAGATTCAAGTATTTTTTTTATTTGGGAAGAAAAATGCTAGATCAAAGATCAATCAAAGATCGATTATTGAATTTTATCATAACCATTAAATGTGTGGTCGAATAATTCGAATAATCAACAAGAATCAGATAAACATGTTTAGTCTTTGCTGGTCCCTTCATGTATGTGTGTGTATATTTGAAAGGAACATGACTAATTAAATATACTCAACAGTTATATTAAACAACTAATTCAATATTTCTTTTAACAATTCCAACACACAGACAAAATATACTTATTTTTCACATAGTGAAAATTGAAAATGAAATAGAAAAAAAAATACATGAATGTATGAATAAACGATGATCACACACACACACACACATGGACTAAGTGGTCTTGATGATGTTGATAACGATTCCTATTGATTCTGATTCTCAGTCATCATCTTCATCAACATAGAAAAAAGAATAGAATTCAATCGATGAGAGAAAGAGAAAAAGAGAGTCATCTCACTTTCAATTAAATGGAATACAAAACACACACACACACATTTAGGAAGAAAATCGACCCAAACACAGAATTTGTATTTAGAAAAAAAATAGTCCATACAGTAAATCAATTCGCAATTGGATATATATGGATCTCAAACAACAATAAGTTTTATCCATTATCATTCACAAAGAATCATAAGAAGAAAATTTCTTTTTTTTTCTTTTTATTCTGGTTTTCGGATCTTCGGGCCTTTTTTTTCGTTAACCAATAGGACTCAATGTCATTCTGTCGTTGATGATCATGCCAAACGCACACACACATATGCGCCAACCATTGAAATACACTATAATCCTCATTTGTTTTAATAATTGCACAATAGAAAAAAAAGTGAAAACATTTACTATTATCATGAGCAACAGTCTTGAGCGAATAGAAAGAAAGAAATAAAAAAAAATTGTCGATCAAAAAAAAACCATTCTTTGCCTTTCGGGAAAAGATCATCACCATTATATCAGACCAATGTGCTAAATGTTTGAATCGATTTTGTCATTCATTTTTCAATTCTGGCCAGTATATTCATATTATGGATCGAAATGTTGCATGCAACCAAGTTTCAAGCCATAATGTAATGTTTTTTCTACTTTACAAAATTATTCGCTTACTGGTTGCTGTTACTATCAGTAATAGAATATAACATAGCTAAGTTGTATTCTCATTTGACATCATTTTTGGCGGCCTACCGTATGTTGTCCTAATAATCTGACATTTTTTTCTTGACATTTTTTTTCTGAAGATTTTTTTGATGTCAATTTTTTCTGTTTTACTAACTAGATAGTAAACTAGAAACGAGAGAAAAAAATTATCAGAATTGTAAATATGAAACGAGGTAACAAAGCGTGAAATACAACCAGAAAAAAAACGGAAAAGAAATACGTGATAATAACATAACTGTATGCGACCTTTGCGTGCAAGGAAGATTCTTTTATGCAAAAAAAAACGGATCAATTCTTGTGTATACACATTGTGTATTCAAATTGAAGTTATTTTCATGATTATAATGATTATATTTTCGAACCTAATCGTATGATTTTCTCTCTCTCTCTCTCTCTCTCTATTTCGTAGAAGGAAAAAAAATTTCATATCCAAATAAAGCCGATAAGAATAAATCTGGAGCCAAAAAAAAACGTTACAAACTTTACGAGTCTTGATTAATCAATTAATTGGAGTGACGCTAAAAAGACGTGAAGCAAAAAAAAAGCCGAAAACCATTTTTTCATTAATTTTCAGCTCCTTTTTTTCCATAACAAACACATGATAATCATCATCATCAAAAAAATATATATAATAGGCTTGTTGTGGTTGGGGCATATTAGTTATTTTCTGTTCTCTACTTGGACAAATATCGATTATGATTATCATAATAATGATGATGATGATGATCGAAGATCAAAAAAATTGATTCAATGATTCCATTAGTTTAGATATATCGGTATTATTATATTGTGAATATTCACTAATATTTTTTGTTGCCAATGTCGGGCGTTTGTTACTCTTGTTTTCTGAATGATTAATTATTTTTTTCTTTGTCACTAAATTTGTAAATTATTTTCTTTTTTGATAACATAAAGTATTTCCGGACGAATAGTGAATCAACAAAATTCTCTCTCAAAATAAAAAAAAAGATAAATGACTTATTAATTTACCTTGACGTTGATTACCATCATCGGCAACAATAATTGAATCAGTTTTTTTCACTGAAGATTTTTTTATTTCTGGCCATTCAGATCCTAGATCCGGTGTATAAATATTAAGATAAAGACAATCTTCACTTTGATTCAACATTCTTGGAACGATTCGCCTTAACCATTCGAATCGTGCTAATGGCATTAATTTCAACGCTTCAGTTGATGTTGTTTGATTTAGCACTAGATCAGCATATGGTATTCGTTGTGGACAAAGTGGTTGTAATTCTGTTGCTAAACGAATACCACGCCAATGTGCAGGTGTTACGGGCGGCATAAAACGTAAGGCACCGGTTGGTGGCGATGCATATGGTATGCCTAGATAAGCTTTTACTGGTTGTAATCGTATTGGATGATGATGATGATGATGATGATTTTTTGTTGTTTTTGTTGAATTGCTAAACATTTTATCCATTCGTACAAGTAATCCTTGTAATAGACCATATTTAATTTTCACAACTGTTGATGATAATTTTCGTTCAAAATCATAATAATCATCATCATCATTATCATCATTGTAATTATTAAATCTTGATTGTGATGTATGGCCATATTGTAATCCATCATTATAGAATGATGTTTGTTTTGATGATGTTGATTTATCCGAATCAGACAATATAAATGCATTGGCAAATAATATTGGTGATATCGATGAAGAAGGCATCGTTGTGGTTAATAAGGCACAAAAAATAAGAAAATTCAAAATAAAAACAATAATGACAATTGAAAATTTTCGATTATATCGATTATTATGATGTTGAAATTTTAATAATTTAATCAATTTCGATTCTAGAAGGCACAAAAACATTAATTTTTTCACACACATTAAACTGTAAAAACATAAAGTAATAATGTATTGTAGAAAATTGAAAAATTTTCCACTTTTATTAATTGTCGTTGTTGATTTGTTTGTTGGTTTGCAGTTGTTGTTGTTGTTGTTGTTGTACATGCTGATTATCATATTCATAAATCATGGTCGTAATTATGAATATTATCAATGACCACGAAATAACTTGTTCATTTATTAATGAAATGTTTGACAACATTTTATATTCTTAATATATTTTTTTTGTTAATCATAATCGGAAACTATATAATTGGTCATCATCATCATAATCATCAAAATGAGAAATTAAACTTTTTTTGTTTCATCTTTATTTGATTTCCTGGATTATTCACAAACACAAGAAACGGAAAACAAAAACTTTTATCGATTGTCAATCATTCAAATTGTGAATATGGATGAAAACAAAACAAAAAAAAAAAACATCACAACACATAAACTTCATTTGAATCAATGAAACATTAAAGATAGAAGGAAAAAAAAGAAAGATTGTTTTTCGTATAATATTGAAGATGAAAGAAAATTCAAGGAAATTCAATAAATATTTATTGACATGATGATAGTGATTTCAGTTTTTTTTTGTTGCAGTCTACAATAATCACAATTATCAATTCAAACATGATGAATGCGGCTGTCTATATGACTGCTATATTTTTTTTTTGTTCATAAATCGATTCTTGATTGAATTGCACACACACACACACACACAAACATTTAAATAAGAAAAAAAAGTTAGGAATATGATTTTCCGTTCCAGTAAAAGTGAAAAATGGCAATCAACGAATTATGCACCCAAAATGTTTCCAAACATTAATAATAAAAACACAAAGATGTTTAACGGAAAGAGAGTAAAAAGTTGGATTATGTTCAAAAGAATTGATGATGATGATCATAGAATGAATATTTGCCGATTGAAATTTTTTTTTTCATTCATTATTGGCTGACCAGAGTTGATTTTTTTTTTTTTGGTGAAATTTTCAATTTTTTTCGCGCCTGAATCCGTTTCACGGCTAAATTATAACTGAATTGTTTTTTTTCTATTTGGCAAACAAGAAACTTGTGAACAGGAAAAAAATCCGAATCGCAAATGCGTGCACAAGTTCAACCCAACAATATACAACACTTGTAATAGTTATATCTTGACAGTAATGGTAGTGTATTCTTGATTCGTGTGGTAGTGGTATTAATTGTTTATAATAAAGTTTCAAAATTGTTTTGCAAATATTCTTGGAACACACTAACAAAATCCGACGATGATCAAGGCTATCGGTAATGTTGAGCCGGGCCTTTTTACCATATATATTCAATCATTTGGCATTTGTGGTCGTAGCCGATGATGATGATGATGATGATGATGTTGATGATGGCGGCGACCATGTCAACCAATTTTCGACGTCATAATCTCGATGCCATTTTCGTTGACGATGATCGTTCATCATTCTTATTCTTATCTTGTATCATTTTTTTTCTCTTGGTCATCATTTGCATCCCAACAGCCACACATAAATATATCCATTATTATCAAAATGAAAACAGAATAAAAACACAAGTATAGCAAAAAAAAATATACAAGTGAGAACCATACACCATACTTGTTTTTCTATTTTCCGAATCATTCGTCATCTGGATTTTTTTCTTTCTCTCTCTTGAGCTTGGAATCTTTGTTTCTATCATTTTTCTTACTCGAAAACGATCCATGTTATGTAATATATGTAATATGACCACGTGTATAATGTATGCCATTGATGATGATGATGATGATTATCAGCCATAAAAATTTTCTTAACAATTGTTATTGATTATTATCATGATAATGGTCATCATCATTATTATTAGGTTCACATTTCAATCTTTAGTGATCTTGATTGACCATCATAAGTCCATTTACATAAATTGGGTTTTTTTCTTGTTTGCAATATGACATCATAACAAAACATTCCATGAATTCCATCATTGATTTATATGCATAGAATTGCCTAGTTGACAGGCACTTGACATTTTTTTTTTCTCTCTAGTTTACTTGAAATCACTGTATTTTTTTTCTAATGGACTGTTGAATAGAAATTCAAATCAAGACCGATGAGATCTGATGACCAGAGATTCCAAAAAGAGATATGCTAAAGTATTGTATGTATGTGTCAGGGTTATAATTGAAATAATTTCTCGCCTACTATACTCAATTTCTTTTCAACATTATCATCTTGTTTGCATCTTTGAGCTTAATATTGGTAGGCCATAGATAATAGTTTTATTTCTAATTATATGTATACACAAAGTATTTACACCAGAAAAAATAACGTCTTTATCAGATTCCAATGAGAATTTTGAAGCCCATCATGGCTCGTTGATTTGCTTTTTTGAATGAATAGACTTGTCCTTGCTGATCCTTTTTATTCGTTTATTTAATTTTTTTCTCTCTCCCCATATTAGGTTCCTTCAAAGAATCACACAGATACTGTAAAAGACCATTTTTTTTAACTTTTGACTTGCCATTTCAGCATGAATGAATTGAATAATTCGACACAAGCATCAGTGTTATAGGCAGCACAAACAAACCTGACATTCAATTTTATTCCTTCCTTAAAGCTGTACATGAACTGATTGATTGAATAGAAAGAATTCAATGAAGAATAAGATCAAAACGACAATACACAAACACACACTCATATACATAGATCATGAAGTAAAGATTCTTTTTTCTTTGAAGAGGTCTTATTATGTCCCTACGAAGTTCCATGTTTGATCCATTTCACTTACTTTTGGTTGTCTTTTTCTTCTTTGTCATTTATATCTCCTGGGGAAACGGACAATTTTTTGTTGTTGTTGTTGTTGTCATTGTTGTTATACTAGCCATTGTTAATGTTGAATTCATGTTTCGTTAGGAAAAACCGATCCTTCGTTTTTTTTCAGAAATGATCTGATAGATAAATATGTGTGTGTGTGTGTGTGTGTTGAATGAAATCAATGGTCAATTGTCAAATGAGTAATCTAGGTCCTCAATTGTATGTTTATGGCTAAAAAGAAAATATTCACAATGTCTAGTGTGTGTGTGTGTGTGTGTGTGTGCCGATGAAAAAATCATGGAATTGGAATTTTTATGACAAAAAAAATAAATGTACATTTCAATCTTATTTACTTTCATGATCTTTCATCTATTTTTATATGAATATTCCATATATTGTCTATATAAATTATGTAATGCCTAATGGTGATTCAAATATTTGCAAATCTGTATCACCGGAAATGTTCTTTTCACTTTACACTCTTTCAAAATTTTTAAAGCTCATTGGATGACAGACAGACACAAAATTTATTGAAATTGTTCCCCAATGGTGTGATCTATGTTTAGTCATATATGAACTGCAATTATTATTATTATTGTTTTGTTTCCGTCATTGTTAATAAATTTATTTTCTCAGAAAGAATTAAGATTAGTTCAATATAAATAAAGATAAAGAATTTTATAATGGTTCCTATAGGAAATTATTCCACCATTTAATGCATCTGTATTTTTAGTAATTTTTTTGGATTTAAAAACCACAATATTTATGTACTCATTTAATTGTATTAGGATAGATAATTTTTGTTTTGTAAATCTTCCTGCAAAAAAAAGGAACAAGTTTATTTCAAAGTTTTTTTTAGTCTTTTCAAAGTCGATTCATATATTATCAGATGCTGTTGTTGATATTCTTTTTTTTTCTCAATACCATCAATCTGCCAATTTTTTTTTCTAATTCGTTATAATTTCATGGCCACATATGGATCGAAAACAGATTCTATTCTAATAGTTTGTCACATTTTTAACCATTTTTCCTTTCCCATTGATCACGACCAAAGTAAATAGCATCGTAAATTAAAATTTATAAGAAAAAACCGTTATATAATGAAAAAAAAATCAAATTGAGAGTTAAATTGAATTTTTTGAAAGAAATAAAAAGACATTTTGGAATGTATGACGTATGTGTGTGTGTGTGTGTGGTGGGTGGCACATGCCCGCGATCCAAAAATAAAACAGTATTGTAAAGTGAAAAATGAATTCATAACATTATTTGTTCTATATATACAAAGCGAGAATGCGAATATTCATATAAAAAAAAAAATTCATGAAAATAAAACACATTTTATTCACATATGCATACTAATCATATTTTCAAAATAAATTTTTGTTTCGATCATGGTATACCGTATTTCTTCACCTTCTTCTTTTTCTTTTACCAAAAAAAACATACATTAGGTTTATCGATTTTTTTCTTCTATTGTTGAATGAAAAATTCTTTATTTCAGCCTAAAAAAAACTGTAAACGATTATGAAAAAAAATTTTTTTTCATGGAGAAAAAATTAAATAATGATACTGGAAAAAATTGGCGATACACACATATTAAACAAAAAATGGCAAATCAACTTGGAATGAAAAGAAAGGAAAAAATATTGAAACAAATGGATTTAGAACAGAATAAACACACCATCAACCACCTACAAAAAAAAGTGAATGTTGAAAAAAATTTTTTCAAAAATATTCCTGATTGATGAACACTAATTTTAAATGGGAAAACTATTCCAGAAAAAAAAGAAATCGTCGATCGAAAAATCCAAGATCAAGCTGATGATGATGATGATGATGATGGCTTTTTTCTGAAGAAAAACCATGACCCATTATTTGGATGGTAACACATTAGTGTCTGAAACATGTTTTCATCAAATTTTAACCATTCATGATTTTCAATCATATATTTAATTTTATTATGATAAAATTAAATGTAAAAGAATTTTTTCATTGAGTAACACTTTTTAGGGCGTATGTGTGTGTGTGTAGAATTGACAAAAAAAAGAAGAAAATCTA